TCGAGCTACAGTACATGAAATGTGCAAGGCAAGTGTCTCATTAATAATTATTGAAAATGTCAGCCCAACACTCCAATAATTTTTTATAGTGTGACATGACCATCAAAAACTTAAAAGATATCTGTTTGTTTTGGGTCATAAGAATTTTGTGACTGTTACTTATGTTTACATTTGACTGGGTAGGGGGGTTCCACTTTGCTCTGCTGGTAGTAAAGGCAATTGGGTAGCTCAACACTCTAGTCCATAAAATGAGCCATATTACTTCATAGCTACTTTATTATTAGCTAATATAATTTTTCCTGAGCACAGTTAATATCTGAAAAGGGAGATGAGAAGCCAGTGCCAGTTGTCTCAATCTTCCTCTGTGGTAGCTGGTTGATGCATTGCAGTTATGATCCTTCACTTGGATTTGAATTTGTAGTTGAGCAGCTCAAGCCTATCTTATTCTTTTCAATCTTGCTGAGGTCTGATTGTGGGCCAAAAAAGTACTGTAGTGTGTGAAAACCACTTTGCAGAGGACTGGTCTGGGAAGGCCACGGATAGTTTAGTACAGGTGCAAGCAGAGTGCAGCTTATGGTGTTATGGAGAGAGGGGATGATTGCCAGGAGTTGCTGCTTCCTGTGTTTATATGGACTTTCCTATTACATGAGGGTCATTCAATAAGTAACAAGGCTTTTTGATGTAGATAGCAAAGGGGGGGGGGGGTGGATAAGCACAGCAATCATGTTATGACATGTTTAGACATGCATAAGCTACATCTTCATATGTTTGTTTAGTTAGATCATTCAATGAGTCTCGAGTAAGTGTTGCATTAAAGATGAGCGCTCCACTTGAATTTTGTACTAGGGAAGAACAACAAACTGTTGTTTGTCTTTTAAATTCGGAATGGATAAGACCAAGTGAAATTCATAGCAGAATGTCACTTCAATATGTAAGCAATTGCATCAGTTGAGCAAACATTTACAAGTGGGTAGAACAATTCAATAATGGTCAAACAAGCATTGTGAACGAAGATCGTGCCGGACGGCCTGTCGAAGTTTCAACACCCACACTGCACCAGAAAATTGAGCGGAAAATTTGGGAAAACTGATGCACCCCGCATACAGACCAGATCTTGCACCATCAGAGTACCACATAGTATTTGGTCCGCTCAAAGCAGCTTCACGTGGAAAGCATTTTCGAATAATGAAGAGGTGAAGAAATCACTAATAATATACCATTACTTCTGCAGTTATATTCATTTATCTCATTACTAACTGAATGACCTTCGTATATTATTGTACCTGATATTTAAGCTTACTGAGACAATGATTCAATGATGTCAATGATTCAAAACTTAAGAGTAGTCTTAACAGAGACGTATGGGTATTAAGATGTTGTTCTCTCCCCATCTATATAATTGGCGTAAGGCTTTCAACTACTGTACTGTACTTTTTAGGTATTGTTGTTTGTCCTGTGTCATCTATTCTTTAAATATACTCTTCATCATCATCATCATCATCATCATCATCATCATCATCATTATTATCATCATCATCAATGTTTTACAGCTATTTTCCACACTTGCATGAGTACTTGTATTTTAATATTGTATCACCTAAAGCTAAGTCCAAAGGATTAGTCATGATGGTTACAGATCATGCCAGGGCGGCCTGTGTTAAGTCTTGTGATGTTGGGAAGCACGACATATGACCAACAGGTTCCAAGGTGATTGGCCCAAAAACATTGATAATGTAAGAGTATGAAATCACTAGAATGATAAATTTAATCAGAATTAACAACATGAAGGAGCAGAGAACATTCAACTTGTTACGATTCTGTCCCCTCCTCACTCTACCACCATAACCATCACTTGATCCAATTGACACTAAGAGAAGAAACTGCTACTCGACTCCAGTGAGACCGTTTCAGAACCAGTTTCCCATCCGACTATGAGACCAGCTTCCCATCTGACTATGAGACCGAGGTATCGAGGCAAGTGTGTCTGCCTGGTAAGTTGAGTCTCTTCTCTGCGGCCTACGGTGTTCCTCTTCTCCCAGGGTGTGAACGATGAATTGTATTAAGGGCTACTGCTGGTGGTGCTGTGATGGTTTGATGGTAGTGGACTACGGCGTTAATCCCTGGTTCCTTGTGGTTGGCCTTCGCAATCTAGACTTGCTACCTGAGCTGCCATTTCTATTAGGTTTTTTGTGTTGTTGTACAGCTACTCCCCGACTTACGACCTACGACCATCTGCACTTGCGACCTGCCTAAGTCGGTACCACCACCTGCACATACGACCTCCCGCAGTCGGTACCAAAAATTTTCTAGACCGAAACGTTTCCGTCCTGTACGAGAGCGTCGTGTGGCTTGGGTCGCCTAGTGGCTACAGCACCCACGCCGTAGAGCACTTAGTTGGTGCTTGGCTGTCGTTGTATCCGCAACTGATCGAGCTGTGTACTGACATTATTTTCCGATCTAATTCACTTTAGAATGACTGGAAAGCGTAGAAGCGAGAGTGCTGGTGGTGATCAGAAGAAAAGGAGACATTCAATTACTTTTGAAATGAAAATGAAGATAATAATGCAGTATGAAAATGAAAAAACTGTAGCAACCATTTCATGCGACCTAGGCTTCTCGCACTCGACCATATCTACTAATTTGAAGGACAAGGAACGTATTCGTGAGGTAGTGAAAGGATCAGCACCTATAAAGGGAACTATAATAATGAAGAAAAGACAAGATCCAATTCAGGAGATGGAAAAATTACTTGTGATATGGATGGAAGACCAAATACAAAAGCGTGTACCCTTAAGCCTTCTAACCCTACAGGCTAAGGCAAGAAGCCTTTTTGAAAGCCTGAAGGAGCAGGCAGGAAATGAGTGCGACCAAACCTTCACAGCAAATCATGGGTGGTTTAACAGATTTAAGAACCGCTACAGTTTACATAATGTAAAGGTGAGCGGAGAGACAGCTAGTGCTGATGTTGAAGCTGCCTAAGCATTTAAGGAGGAGCTACAGCGCTTCATCGTGAAGGGAAATTATTAGCCTGAGTAAATATTCAATGTGGATGAAACTGGATTATTATGGAAGCGCATGCCTGAACCGACATACATTCACAAAGAGGCGAAAACAATGCCAGGATTCAGTGCATTCAAGGACCATATTACACTTCTGTTGGGGGTGAATGTAGCTGGTTTCAAGATAACGCCCTTCAGAGAACCCAAGGGCTTTTAAACATGTCAGCAAGCACATACTGCCAGTGTTTTATCGAAGTAACAAGAAAGCCTGGATGACCCTAGTACTGTTTGAGGATTGGTTCATGACTTGCTTCATTTCACAAACCAAGGAGTATTGTCTGCAACAAGGGATTGCATTCAAGATTTTGTTAATTTTGGATAATGCTCCGGGACACCTACCACACCTGGACGACATGCACCCTGATGTTAAGGTAGTCTATATTCCACCTAACACTACCTCTGTCATCCAACCCATGGAACAAGGTGCTATTGCAGCTTTTAAAGCTAATTATTTACGTACAACCTTCGCTCAGGCTGTTGCTGCTACTGAAGGTGAGATAACGCTCAGAGAGTTTTGGAAGGAGTACAACGTTTTGTCATGTATAAAGAACATTAGTGCAGCATGGGATCAGGTTACAAAACATTGCATGAATGGAATATGGAAGAAAATCCTGAAAAGATATGTGAACAGTTTCAAAGGATTTAATGAAAATGAAGTTATTTTGGATATTAGTAACAAAATAGTGGAGTTAGGTAAACAGCTGGAGTTAGAAATTGATAATGAAGATGTTGAACAGTTGGTTGAAAGTGTAGCAGAAGAGCTAAGTAAAAAGAATCTTATCAAACTGGAAGCACAGAAAATGCAGAGGAAGAAGAGTCTAAAAGTAGAAGAACTTGCACCCCCCAAAAATTTTTCAGTGAAGCAAATAGCAGAGGCATTTGCTACAATTAATAAGGGGATGCAAATGTTTGACGGAATGAATCAAAATATTGAGCGTTTTGCCAAAGTTGACAGAATGGTCCAAGATGCACTTGCTTGCTACAGGGAGATTTATAATGAAAAGAAAAAGCAAACTGTGCAGTCTAAATTGGACATCCATTTTAAGAAATCCCCCATTGCTGTCTCCTCACGCCCCACCAGTGCTGCCTCTTCACTCCCTAAAGATGATCCAATACCTTCAACCAGCAAGTTTCCCCTGTACATAAACCTGTCTAAAGAAAGCGACATTGATGACCCACCCAGCCCTGTCTCCTCTTCTGCTTCATCCAATTAATATAGTCTCCATGTATACCTGTAAGTAAAAAATTATGGGGGCTCCGTGTGCATTCAGCTGACTACATTAAAGGTAAGTGCACAGTAACACTGTATCCATTCTTCATTATTGATTACTTTACTGTATACTGTATTTAATTATAGATGTTATATGTATTAATTTTTGCATTTTCGTCTTACTACCATTTTGACTTACGACCTGGATTTGGGTCCCTAACCCCGTCGTAAGTCGGGGAGTAGCTGTATATAGTAAGGGTATATAATTTATAGTAATGTAAGAATGATTGGGTATTATTCTGGTGTGTTTTGGTAGATGCATAGCTGTGTTACTTAAGTTTTGATAGCTGCATATTTTGTGTTTTACTTGTGTTATTTAATGTACTTAAGTAACTAACTTAATCAATACTTAATATAAATGTTATTAAATTAATCAGTTTACTTGATAATCTTCTTATCTCTTTCATAACTTAAATTTGTCTGTCACGAACAGCGATTCTTGTGTGTGTGCTCCTTACTTGCTGCATCCACGTATTTCAATCCCTAGATTATGCACTCTATATTTTTACTTGTCAATTTTGCCTTTCCTCAATGTTGTGGGTAGCAATGAGGGACATCACAAACTTTTTACCACTAGTTACACATTTAAGTCAAGTTAATTATACAGGGGTGTTTCTATATTTTAATATAAGATATAAATGAAAAACACAAGTACTAATTAAAATAATTACCTCTTCAATGGAATCACTGTTTGACACATTTATATTCTTGGTAAATTCACCATTGATTTGTTCACGAGCAG